CAGTACTCGAGATATATTTTGGTAGTATTCTCCGTAAAGGAGTTATAAAATGAAGATAAAATATAAAAATATTTTTAAACCCACGGATCTCATTCAAATGTTGTTCAATCATTCTTAAAAGCTCTGCAGTGACCGTAATATTTTTTTATTAGCCGCACGAGCTAGAACCGCGGGTCTGTTAATCCAACGAAGGTTGTATTACGACAGTACTCGGGATATTGATGAATACTTCAAGAATATTTTGGTATTATTCATAACAAACGACATTATGCTCTGCAACATAAACAGTAATCCTAAAATTACAAACCATATATGCTTTCAATTACTTAGTATTTCACACAACATCATCTAGGTTCATCAATAAGCTCGTGTATGTGTCTGTGGGCAGCGATGCAGGCAATTCCTGTTGATTTCATAAAATCACATATGAATATAAGTATATATGTCGATCAGGAAGTAGATCACACAGCATAAAACGTTTCGAACTTTAAGTTATGTACCTGACTATACTGATCCGACATTGAAAGTTGGCTTGGATTTGATGGGTGAAATGCTTCTTGACTTGAAACAACTTCTTTATCCTTTCCTGTTAAAGAATGTGTCATGTTAGTGAGCTGTAATTCAGCGTACATCCAAAACAATAGAAGAATATAACCTAACTAACACTTTGTTTATTTTTCAATCTTACTTTTTGATCGGTTATTCTTCTCCCAAAAGTCTTTTAATCTAGCATTAGAAACTCATTTTGGCTGCATCTTCGTTGGGTCCTTCAAATTGTGTGGTTTATTCAGCGTCTTTTTCTTCTTTGACATTGGCATTTCCTGAGGGTTTTTCCCATTCATTATGGCTTCAGATTCGAGTGTCAGTTTCCTTAATGTTTCCAGCACATTTTTTTCAGCAAGTTCATTACCTTGAGTTAATATGCTGATCCGGTATACAAATTTATGAACGTGCGCCCGATATATGAGACCACTCGAACAAGTTACTGAAGTTTGAGAATCTTTAAGTTGCTGAAGTTTGAGAATCTTTCAAATGTTTATAACCATAGTTGTTATATATATCCCTCTTTGCATGAACCGACCACCGCAGTAAAATATATTTATCAGGGATCTTTGTTATATTCTCATGGTTAAGCACTCTTAGAGTGTGAGCACATAAGATTCTCATCATTTCAAATTTTTTACAACTGCATGTAATCTCACAATTACCTTTATCGACCTTAACAATCCACGGTCTGACTGTGTGCTCATTATCTAAGTTTCTAACATAAAATTCTGAATTTGAAGTGACTGAGCACTCCACAGCAAGACCACACATACCATGCAACAACTCTGTTTCAAACATTGAATATAGCTTCCTCGTATAAACTAAAGTTCCTTGTCTCAACACATGACTACTTTTTACAGCGGGGACAATTGCAGATTGTTCAGATTTAAAATCTTCATCCCTCTCATTCCTTCTCCAAGCTTTCATGACATTTTCAAGACCCAAGAAACTCTCAGTGAGGGTGCTTGTTGGCTTAGAGGCATTATGACAAATGTTATTCGTCGACTCACTCCTTTGTGTTGAAAGGATCCCCATCCCAAATATGTCCTTGTTGAAAGCTGTTGACCACTTATGCCTGATATTGCACAAGCTAATCAACCAAGCATGCTCATATAGATTTCCTAACACAATCATTGAATGCCAAGTTTCTTCAAACTCCTCCTCAGAGTTACACCTAGTCATGCATTTATAAAAAAGCTCATTGACTTTCTTGGTGCTTACACCACAATGTAGCTTTGAAGATAATTTCTTGTAAATATGCCATTGACATAATCTATGTCTTGTGTGCGGAAGACACTCTTCAATGGCTTTGGCTATTGCTTGATCCTGATCAGTGAATATTGCCATGGGGTGTTTGTTGTCCAAAATCCGAATAAATGATTTTAATAGCCACTTGAATGATTCAACTGTTTCGTCTGACAAAAAGCCAACTCCAAATAGAACGTTCTGCCAGTGGTGGTTCACACCAACAATAGGAGCACAACATAAATTGTATTTATTTAATCTATAACTTGTGTCAAAAATTATGACATCCCCAAAGCAATCATAATCAAGTCTGGATATCCCATCACTCCAAAAGAAATTCAATAAACTACCAGACTCATCAATTTGGACGTCCCATGCAAACATTGTGTCCTCTGCTTGCCTCTCAGTGAACAATCTAAGTAGAGAATTAGCGTCCCCATTTTCAATTATACTCTTTCTCTCTCTTTGTATGAAATTATAAGCATCTCTCTTCGTGCAATCAAGATTTTCAACACCCCCAAATTCTGTAGCCAGAAAACTAAAGGCATCGCTTGTTCTGATCCCTGATTTTGTCATCGATCTGAGCACTTGTGCACTGACATCACCCATTTTTCTGCTAGAACGCAATAGATGTTTGTCACCGTTTGCCGCCAAATGATAGTTATGAGTTTCTATAAATTTCTTAACCGACCAGTTACCTTTTACATCGACGACATATCGGATCATGGCTGGACAACCAGTCATTGTGTCCCCTCTTCTGTACTTCACCGCCACATTGTTATTCAATTCTTTCTTAAAACCAGTCTTGCCACAAATGAAATCCTTTGTCTTAATCATTTTTGAATTAGGCCAAAAACCAACATGGTCCTTTCGCACAGTGAATCCAATATGGTGTGCATACGCACAATAATTTTTGTAGGCTTCCTTCTCATTATGAACCGCCGCGCGAAGCAAACTATCCGCATTTTGATCAATGCACACAGTTAAAGGCTCGGGGAGCTGCAACTTTCCAACTTTCAAACATTTGCAAGGT